TTTGGGACTGCCTTGCTTTGAGAGGAGGAGTCGACCGAGGTGGGGAGGGGGGCTGTTTTGAAGCTTTGCTGCGCTGACTGCCCTGTAGATTGAGAAGTTGAAACAAATAATCCTCTACTTCTGTCACACATAGCCCACCCAGGTGGAATTGAGGGGGGTTAGGGACTGACTGCCACCCCCTGGCTTCTGCTTTCTAGTCTGCACCTCCTCCCCTAGCGCCCTTTTGGGGGCCTCTTGCCTCTCTGAAATTCAGTGTCCCCATCCTCACCCCTAAACACCCCAGGCGAGGGGGCACACAGCCCTTCCCTGCAAGGCCCAGCCTTCCAGCTGGGACCAGGAGCCAAGAGGCAGCTGCCACCGAGCCAAAGCAGTCACTAGGTGACTCATAAGCCAGTTTCCGCAGGCGGCTGCCACAGTTTGCCGCCCCTGAGCCTGTACAGTGAGGCGCAAGAGGTAAAAATAACCCATGACCGGCCCTGCTGGGGCAGGCTGGCGGGCTTGGGTGGTGGGTCCTTCCATTCACCTCGTCCTGCTCTCTCCAGTCCTGGAATTGAAAGCCTCATTCCCCCCTCTAACGCCGACCCCCCTCCCCCCCAGGCCAGCGAGGTGCCAGGAGAACCTGACCAGAGCCAGTGTTTGCGAAATTGAGTTGCATTAAACCAGATTGCTTCCCAAAGGCCCTTTGTGAACTCGGGAGGCTAATGAAATGCACGAGGATATTATTAAAATATGTTCGCACATGTTTGGAGCGAGTCTCGCCAGTGCTAAATGGATTGCTGCTTAAGGCTCCTTTGTACCTTGTTTTTATCCCCTCCTATAAAGCTGCTTAGGGGACCTCCGCCCAAGGGGTCCACGTTGTGCTGAACTTATCGTTGTGAGGGCCGGGCACTGTCGGACATTTGCTCTGGCCCTTCCTTTGGGTTCACTAAAAAAAATTTTGTTCTAATTTTGTTCCCTCTTGGGCTAATCGGCCCTGATATTTTGGCCGACACCAAGGTGTCATTCAACCCATTGCCTGAGACCTGTGTTACTTCCCATAGGCGGTGAAGAGTGGGACCCTTGAGGGTATTGCCTGGAACCCTGGTCTGCACCGCTGGCCCAAGGGGTGGCCCATTAGTCACCGTGTATTTTTACACAGGCCCCCTACTTACTGGAAGGAAGCCGAGGGCAGGAAGAAGCAGTTTTAAAACACAGGTATAATGTAACAGTTTGTTGCAAGTGCTAATCAGAGTTCAGTAAAGGGCCTGCTGAGGAAGCCTTAGGGCCTGGAGTTTCTTTATACAGAAAGGTAGGAAGGAAGGAGGGAAAGAAAAATTGAAGAAAGGAAAGAAACAAATAGTGATACATACCGGGAGCATTACAGGTGGACTGGAGTTGGGCTGCAGGGCAGGCACTCGCGTCCAGGTGGCTCTTCTACAACAGAGGAGACTGCCTTGTCAGGGCCTTGACGCCTCCTGGGCCTCAGTTTCCTTGTTGCATTATAGCCTATTCCAATACCACCCCCCCTGCATTAGCCTCAAACCCTAAGTCAAGAGGGTGTGTCTCGGTATGACTTGAGGCAGGGGATCTCTCTGAGTGAGTGACTCTGTATGGGACCGGAGGCCGGTAATGCTCTCTCTTTGGGGAGTGTCTCAGGTGACTGGGACCTATTGGAATG